AATTTGAAAACGGTTTCGCTTTGTTTGAAAATGGTTTCATTTAATTTAAAAAAAGTTTAATTTAAACTGAAAATGCTATATATCGAATGCAACACGTAAGGAAGCGACAGTAGGAGAAATTGTAAATTTGATGGCGGTCGATGCACAACGCTTTATGGATTTAACAACATATTTATGATTTGCTCAGCGCCATTACAAATTGCGCTAGCTATGTACTTCTTGTGGCTACAATTGGGACCCTCAGTGCTAACTGGCTTAGCTGTGATGCTCATTTTGATTCCAGTCAATGGTGTTATTGCAAATCGCATTAAATTATATCAAATATGTAATAGTTTGAATTATATACCTATGTAATTATTGTTTACTGTCAGCCGAGGTGGCCACTACCTTTCATCGTGAATAGCAAATGTCAAAAAGTCACAATAATAAAACAAGTACATTCAGCGGCAGTTCAACTTTGAATCTTGAAGCGATTAGTTTTATAACAGCATTCTGCGGACAGGATCCGAAAAATGGAAAATACCATGAATAAGACTCAGTTGGCTACAGAATTGGGAGCAGCGGGTGCAATTTTTGAGAAAGATGCCACAGTTGCAGATTTGCGTGCGATGTACTCCGCAAAACTTGGGAAAAATTCTACGGGAAAAAAGAATTCCGATCAGGCGATACACAGTAATTCCGAGAAAAGCTGTGCTGACGATCGTAAGCTAAATACGATTGATGAAAGCGAACAGGAAAATTTGAACGATTCGCCGGGCGAGCCGAAAACAAAAACCGCTATTCAGTTATATGAAATCCAATTCGAAGAAGAATTGCTAGATGCAAAGTTGCGTGTATTGGAGAAAAAGAAGCGAATTTTTGAATTGGAATCAGGCATGTGTTCTCCATTAGTTCAGCAATTTATGAAACCCAGCTATAAAGACGTTAGGCATTTGGTTCCGTTATTCAGCGGTTCTGACGACTACGATGCCGAGAAGTGGCTTGGACATTTTGAACGAGAGTGTGACACGATTAATGCTCATCATCTGAATTCTTCCGTCAATCCATGAAAAGTGACTCAGAAGCCGAATTATTTTTACGCACCTATTGTTCAGCAACATATTCAGAAATTCGAGCACATTTTTTTAGCGAATTTTGGTCACATTTATTCCGTCAGTGAGGTTATTG